AAGGGGGAAAAAACAGTAGTTTATCAATACAGTATATTATAATCTTGCATTACCTACATACATCTGATAGGTCTCTATACAATCAAGGGTAATCCATGGTAACAAAACTTACTAAGTTAACAACTTAAGTTAACAACTATGGAAAATAACAACTACAGATGCCAGATGACTATGCGGAGGCTTGAATACATGAAAGTATTTTATCTGCAATGTCATATAAACAGCAACCCCACAGATATATAGTGACCTTAAGGTGTTCACCAAAATGAAGGGGATGTGAATGCACATAATGTTTATATACATGCCACCGCCAATGTACATAAAACAATAACACACATTGTTATTGTCACTGGAGGTAATAGACTGTTTTAAAGGCTGATTTAAAGGCTGGATGGACAGTAAAATATCTGTTTGTGTTACTAATTCATTTTTGTTTATATGAATATTGCAGTGTTCGATGAAGCCGAAAACTGTGCCATGTGTTCACTTAAAAAGACTACTGGATCTGTGCATCGTTTGATAAATTGGGTGAGTTTGTTAACCACTTGATAAAAGAGAATGGGAAAGTGAAAAGCAATAGCAATATTAAACTTTAGCAGTTCCCTGATATTTCCGACTTATACATTTCTAGATCCAACGTGAAAGGTGGTACCATGAAGAGTGCCTGGGTATGGCCGATGAAGACCTGGAATAGGCAAGAGCTAACAACTGGAACTGCATATTGTGCTCTTAAATCCTTTCATTAAAACGAATTTGATCTTTTTTTTTTGGGTTGAAGTATGCAGTTGTTCTTTTAAATTATTGTTGATAGTTGTAAATTGTAAATTGTAAATCGTTTTGATTAAATTGAGTATAAACACTGTTTTGTGAAAAATGTGAAAGAAAAGTCTAAATGATGATAATATTAAACATTTTTATATGTGAAATTCAACATCGGAACATCTTGTCATTGTGTAGTTGATACCGTGTCAAAGTGTCCTCTCAATCTGCGGTGAAAGTGGTCTGTGCAATGTAAGAGTTTTGTTTTTATAGCTTTTTGAAAGTAGACAAAACATCACATATATGAAAGTTGTGGGGGCTCTTATTTTGTAATTCCACATCAGACAGTCCTGAAACGACGCAGCTGACACTGTGGGAAGGTGTACTCTCAATCTGAGGTGGAACTGGTCTGTGCTTTCTAGAACTTTTATTTTTTTTATTGCTTTTTGAAAGTAGACACTAAACAACACATATATGAAAGTTGTGGGGGCACTTATTTTGTAATTTCACATCAGACAGTACTGAAACGATGCAGCTGACACTGTGACAAGGTGTACTCTCAGTTTGAGGTGGAACTGGTCTGTGCAATCTAGAACTTTTATTTTTATATATTTTTGAAAGTAGAGATGCAGCAGCGTATTTATTAGATTTGGGAGGCTCTTATTTTGTAATTCCACATCAGACAGTCCTGAAACGACGCAGCTGACACCGTGGGAAGGTGTACTCTCAATCTGAAGTGGAACTGGTCTGTGCAATCTAGAACTTTTATTTTTATTGCTTTTTGAAAGTAGAGATGCAGCAGCATATTTATGAGATTTTGGGGGCTGTTATTTTGTAATTCCACATCAGACAGTCCTGAAACGACGCAGCTGACACTGTGGGAAGGTGTACTCTCAATCTGAAGTGGAACTGGTCTGTGCAATCTAGAACTTTCATTTTTATAGCTTTTTGAATATAGAGATGCAACAAGTGTATATTCTTGCTGTTATTTTGTAATATGAGTATTGGAGGGCTTTTAGAGGAAGAGGAGCTGGAAGAGGAGCACTGCATTCAGATCAGTTCTCTGACAGTTTTATCGTAATAGGCAGTCTATGCGCGACCCTCAAAATAACGTGGCGGCTAGATTGACCGTGTTTTTCGACTTGGCGGCTGGCTTGACCGCAGTAGAAAAAAGGCCGTAAGAAGTAGGTCATTCAGATCTGACACAGCATGACCCAATTTGCTATCTCACTATTTGTTATGTTCCCTTAAATTTCTGCATGAGCGGAGCAAACTATGTAATATATCACTGTCATACTGATCTTTTAGAGGTCAGCTTACTATTCCTAATAGACATATTGCATTTTGCATTGCAACGCCATCAGTGGCACCAATTAATATGATGATACTGTAGAGCAACATACACGAGCACTTGTTGCTTCTACCCAAATTAGTGTTACACAAAAAAAGCATATATATTCTCAAATATATTTCTCTTGTGCTGTATAGAAGGGCTCTTGTTTTATGGTGGTCTGTTTTCAAAATGATGCAGTGTTGTAGCGTATGAGGAGAATCACAAAGGAACCCTTTATGGGAACCAAAAGGTGAAAGTGCTCTTCAAAAAGTGTCAGACATTGTGCCTTAATATATCTAAAATGTGCCTCTTTCTATTATGAATACTTTTTGCTCTTCTCATGATGAATGCCGAACTGAAATTTCGAATGAATAGGTGCTGTTTGGTTAGTGTCAATTACTTTAATGCACAAAGGCTTGTGTTCATAGAACATGCAGGAGTAACAGGCTTACGTATGAACACAATGCAGCCCTTTACACATAGATTATGAATAAGAAATAAGATATAGGTATATCTAAGCTATAAAATAATTATTTAATAAATTTGATATCATTTTAATTACAAATTATTTAACACTTTTATAGTAATATCATATTTTAAGGGGGGTTTTTTTGTTGAGGATGTCAAGAGGTCATGTCTTTCCATGTCTTGATGTGACTGTTATTTACCCTTCATTTACTCATGCACTGTTTACTGTTAATCAGTAAGGATGCTCTCCTGAGGCACAAGCGTTTTGGAATTGAGTGCTTAGTATGAGATAATTAACAAATTCACATCAGACTCACAGTAAAACCTGTGGATGCAGTAGAACAGAGCCAATCTCAGGACTACTGTGTACCTCCCAAGATATGTGAAGTATCTGCAGACTTTAAAAGCACTATGCACTCTCCTGACAAATTATTTATCAAGATTTCTACTAAGAGACCATTATTTCCATAAAGTTCGGCTTGGGAGAATTTAAGGTCCCAACATGGCAGTACGGCATCCTCATTATTTTGAAATGAAAAATGTTTTGAAAATTCTGTGTGTGTATATGGATGTTAGGTGACAAATAAATATTTTTTTTATCTATATTATTTTATTTATTTATTTATTAACACCACCCTTTAAAAAGATTATGGTGGGCAATATATTAGCAGTAAAATCTTGAGAACAACTATGATGTTCTACAGTAGAAATTGAATTTAGTATGATGTTCTAGTCCTGGAGGCACTCCAACACTGCACGTTTTGCATGTCTCCTTAATCAAATACACCTGATTCAGGTCATCAGCTCATTAGTAGAGACTCCATGACCTGAAATTGGTGTGTCAGAGAAAGGAGACATGCAAAATGTGCAGTGTTGGGGTGCCTCCAGGACCAGGGTTGGGAACCACTGGTCTTGAAGACAATGATTAGCTGGTTCAGGTGTGTTTGATTAGAGTTGGAGCTAAACTCTGAAGGAAAGTGACCTGGAAGGGCCAAGTTTGCCCACCCCTGTTCTAGAGTGAACAAATAAATAAATATTTCAATATTATTTATTTATTTATTTGCTTGCTAGAACATCATACTAAATTCACTCTCTGATTTTACTGCTAATATATTGGCTGCTGTAATCTTTTCAAAGGGTGTTGTGTATAAGGCTCAAAGGGATTACTCAAGCTATTTATTTCAAGCCCTACAATGGGTAGGGAGGAGCAAAAAATTTTTACCATGGATTTCTTAACCTGACATTCTAGTTTTCCATCATTTCGTTTCAAGAATTTGTTTGTACCATGATGGTGATGCTAGCTAGGGTAAAAAGTAAAGTAATTCCAACTGAATCCTACCATGTAATACATTATTGCATTTGGCAGGTGATTTTGACTTACATTCAGGGTATTACATTATCAGTTTGTGCCTTCTCTAGGAATCAAATCACGAGAGAGAGAGGCCCAGTTTAGGAGGTTTAGTGCAGAAAAACCAGGTGGCTAGTTGCCTTAGGCTATTTTGTGCTTCTTCTTTTTTTTTTACTTTTACTGAAATTTCTCTATTTTGTCTTCATCACATCCCTGTATTTTTCACCCTATGTGCTTTGAAAATAATCTAAATATCTTTATTATATATTTTAATTATTTTTAAAAAGATTTCTGAAAGTAACTTGCTATGATTTTATCTAAATCTACATTTTTCTGTTTGATCAAATGTGGAGACTGTTAGTTTGTGGCTTGTATTAACAACATGTTCTCTTACGGTACAAGAGAACATTTATTTTTGAAGTTGTTGAACATTTTAGCTTACAGCATGAGAAACAGATGACAGCACAGGTGCAACTATTTTGTAATACCTCTCAGGGTACAAGACACCGCAGGACAGTGAACTAACACTAGATGGCGCAGTTGATCTAACGCTATATTTCTAAAGAAGTAGTTCACACAAATAATCTAATCATCAAAATGGTAAAACTGTTTAGATGATTTATAATAGGTCATAGAGTTATAGATTGAGATTTTGAATTAATTAACCTGTTTATTTGTTTAGTTTTTCTTCCTACATTACTGAACATTACAACAGTTTATTGATGCTTATGTAACTTCATACGCCTAGAGCGCAACCTAGTGCGGGACACTATGTTCAAACAATACCCCCATCACTCAGCGTTGTCTAATTTATAACTGCATGTTTGGCTTCAAAGCCTTCAGCTGTTATGTCTCCTCATCCTGAGCCTTCATCATCCCGATGTTTAGTAACGACTGCTGTAGTAACAGAATGCTGGCTTTGGGAGGGCTTAGAATAGCATTTGGGCAACAGTGGTGTTGTTTACAGCCTCAGTAAACATACACACGTGGTGGAGCATGAAGCAATTCAGACACACTTTGCAGACAGTGAAGAAACTTGTGTTATGGAAAAACAGAGGGGGTGAGGGCGTACCATGAGGAGGTGTTAGCAGTAGGCTATTAGCTCCAGTTCTGACAGAGAAGAGAGATTTCTATTTTTAGCGAGACTGGAATGTACACTGAGGCCTCTCGAAGGATTTCTGAACAACAAATAACATACCGCGGTCGCCCCAGTCCCTATAAACATCAACCTGCCACACTCAGAAAGTGAAAAACTTTCAGAAGTGAACTGTTTTTGAGAACAGAGGGACAAGTTTGAGTTCTGTTTGAGGTTTGATGATACATAGATATTTACAGGACCATCTAGAATGTGCTTCAAATCAGCTGAGACAAGGTAAGGTAAGGTATGGCTGACCAGGTCTCTGAGCAGATGCTTTGACTGTAGGCACAACAACATCTGTGTAGATTGTAGATAATGGCATGGCGTGTGTTTGTTATGTCAGTCTTCAGGCAAACTGGACAGCCGTAGTCTTGAGAGATTACTGTGATTGTGTGGTAAACTTGCAGAATTGTTAAACAAGTATGATATATGTTTTCTGGCTATAATATGGTGATGAGGGATATTTTTTTTACCATCTTCTTCTATCTTCTTCCATTCCCTAGATATCTTAAAATGTGCAATTGCCGAAACATTTTATATATGATGCTTTTGAAAATATGCACTGAATAATATGATTGAGCTTCACAGATGCAACTTCACACTCATGTTTAAGCATGTCATTGTGTCAGTCAGAAAGATATTAATGTTTGTTTATTATTTATTTATAGCATTCATTTTTATAAACATACTATGATAAATACACACACAAATTGAATATATACTGTTTAATGCTGTATGCGATTTATTATATATATAAATTATATATTAATATGTAGCATGATGCTACCAGTGCCAAGGTCATGGGCTTCCAATGGAATACATGAGTAGAGAAAATGTGTATCTTGAATGTTGGATAAAAGCTGAAAGATGTAAATCACTTAATTTTCAAAATCAGTAGATTTAAAAATTGAAATAGTAATATGAAATGCATCTAAACTGATGTCATTATAGTTTTTATGTACATGAGGTAAAATATCTTCTTCCATTGTGGCAACCAGTATCCGAATTAAAGACAATGTTATGATTATAAAACCTCCCTTTTTTTCTTTTCTTTTTTTTTTACAGCTTAGATGATCCAATATCAGAAGTCCTGCATTTTAAAGACAAAGACCTGACTTCCACTCTCCTCCTGGAACTGAACACCTTAAGGAAGGACCGAATTCTTACGGATGTTGTGTTTTGTTCAGAGGGCAAAGAGATCCCATGTCACCGCAATGTTCTGGTGTCCAGCAGCCCCTACTTCTACGCTATGTTTTGCAGCAGCTTCCTGGAGACCCAGAAGCCCCAGATAAACCTCCAAGGTGTTCCTTATGACATCCTTACGAGTATTGTGGAGTATGTTTACACAGGGTCCATCAGCATCACCATGGAGCTGGTTCTCCCTCTGATGCAAGCTGCCTCTATGCTACAGTACGGAAGACTTTTTGAGGCCTGCTCCACCTTCCTGCAGGCCCAGCTCAGTCCAGACAACTGCCTGAGCATGATCCGGCTCTCAGAAATCCTGCTTTGCTCAAGCTTGCGGGAAAAAGCAAGAGAGCTGGCCGTGAAGAGCTTCTCAGATGTGGTTGTCTCTCAGGACTTCTGCGAACTCTCGCTACCCGAACTGGTGAGCTACTTGGAAGACGACAGACTCTGCGTTGAAGAAGAGCAAGTATTTGAGACTCTTCTAGCTTGGATCCACCACGACCCGTTCTCCAGGTGCGGCACCATCCACGACTTGTTCCGTCGTGTGAGGCTGAGACACGTCCACCCTTCATATCTTTTCCAGTTTATCGCCAACGACCCTCTAGTCCAGGCATCGTCTTTATGCACAGAAATTATCGAATCTGTTCGTCGTCTGCTCTTTTCTGTCGGCACTCATTGCCCTGGTGATCTTGAGCCCCTGTGGGCCGCGCCGCGGCGTCAAAACTGCAAGGAGGCTCTTGTAGTAGTAGGAGGTCGTAAGAATGGCGAGCGGACGTCTCGTGATGCGCTGCTCTATGACGAGCAAACTCGCTGCTGGCAGTGGCTTGCAAAAGTCCCTTTGCGGCTCTACCGACCCGCTTATGTCTGCATGCACAGCATCCTTTACGTTCTGGGTGGCTTAACCATGAGAGCAGGAGGCCAGTACACACCTAGCAACACGGTTTACACGCTTTCTCTCAAAACAAACCAGTGGAGAATGGGAGAACCCATGGTGAAGCCTCGATACGCCCATCAGAGCTCCACCTACCTACATTTCATTTTTGTACTGGGTGGATTGACGGCTGATGGACAACTGTCCAATGAGGTAGAGCGATACGACACCATGTTTAACCAATGGGAGGCCATGGCCCCCATGCCCACCGCAGTTCTGCACCCAGCTGTAGCTGCGCATAACCAGAGAATATACGTGTTTGGTGGAGAAGACGCCATGCAGAAACCAGTTCGAATGATCCAGGTGTGATATTTCAGGCTTATTCAGATGTTTAATTGTATTGTGCTCAAATTTCACAAATTGATTTTGAAGTGGTAAAAGATGTTTGTTCTTGATAGGTGTACCACATAGGAAGGAATCTGTGGTATAGAATGGAAACCAGGACGGTGAAGAACGTCTGTGCACCAGCAGCAGTGATTGATGATAAAATCTACATTGTAGGCGGTAAGGAGGGTTTTTTTTTGGTGGTATTGTAAAAACATAATTCCTGTGTGTTGGTCTTAAAGTCACCATGAAATCAAAATTTGTATTTTTTTTGTTGACTGTTGAAGTGATTATAAATTATCCATGCAAATCATTATCTTTCTTCTTATTTTTATTTCATGTGCCCTTAACAACTATGGAGAGGTGGGGCAATAATCCTCTCTCCTCGTCTTACACTTTTTCACATTTGAGAATTATTTATTTCAACAGGCTATACAAGAAGAATGGTAGCCTATGATATTAAAACCAACAGGTTTGAAAAATGTGAAAATATGAAGGCCAGGAAGATGCATCACTCCGCTTCTGTGGTCAATGACAAGATCTATGTCACGGGGGGCCGTTTCATTAACAGTCACGAGAGTGTGGAAGATTCAGACAGCTTTGACTGCTACAACCCAAAGACAGACTCATGGGTGTCAATGGGAGCACTGCCATTCAAGCTATTTGACCATGGCTCAGTACCTCTGGTCTATCTCTCTGATAAGTTTCTGCCTACATGAATGCATTTATGTGACAATGTAGCTTAGGTTTTTAAATATGTCTGTCTCCAAGCAAAATGCTCGATGTACTGTATTTTACAGATCATACTGAAAAAATATAGAGTAAAAATACAGAGCATATTACGATAGCAAAGCAATGAGATGCACACATTTTTCACCTCTCTAAAGGTGTTTGCACATGTTGCCTTTTGATTGTGTGTGAAATATTAGTAAAATAACTAGTAATAGTTATTAAAATAGCTTAAATTAGAATTAAGAAACGATTAGAATCACCTGATCTAAAAAAATAATTGAATAATATTAGTGTTTACTACAGAATAAGTTACCTTTGAATATCTGTTCTGTATTACTTCAATTGCATATGCAAAATGATGTTTATCATGCTTCATAAAAACTAATAATGCTTTTGTGTGTTATTTGTAAGTTGACTTATCTGGCCGTCTTAAAATGTAAAATAAATTTAAAGGGAAAGTTCATGCAAAAAATAAATTAGAATACACCTTGTGATCATTTGCTCAGCCTCATGTCGATCCAACCCTGGTTGACTTACTTTCTTCTGTGGAAAACAAAATAAAATACTATAAAAGAAAAATTGGACCACCTGTAATTTTTCAAAAAACAACAAAACAACAGTCTTTTCAATGGCACACACTGTATAAAAGTCCTAGATTGTATTTTTCACTTCAACTTTCAAAACTTTTTTTGTGGAGTTTTTGTCTACTAAAAGTTTTTTTCTGAAAGACACTGTCAGCTGAACAATCTATTCCTCACAGCCTCGCTTTCATTTCTGTCAAAAATTTGGTTTAATAAATCATAACAGAATTCAAATTTTTGGTGAATTATCCCTTTAATTGCTAAGTAAAAAAACAAAATCCTCTCCCCATCAATAATTTACATCTTTGTATAACAACATATTTGTTATACTGTTTATTTGATACTTTTTAATGTAATATATCTTCAATTTGACTGTTACATAGCTCTGATGTGACCTATACATCATCCTACCTATAGATCCCAAGAGATGAAACTCATCATGTGACATGCCACGGGAGGTGTGAGAGAAATGTGTGTCTGAGTCTTACATGTCTTCCTGTCACTGTAACAGGTGTCAGCATGCCCAGACATGAAACTGTTAGTCACAAAGGAGGTTTTGATGAGCCATTAAGAGACTTGCTACTGTCTTTTCTGATAGTGTGAATTATGTGGTGGTATAAATTCACAATACCAATTTCACTTACACAAGTTATCCAAGTTATTTTAACTTTGACATTAAACTTAAGGATGGTAAAAAGGTGAACAACAATGTCCGTGTTATGATTACTCAATGCAAAGTGAGATATATGGTCCTGCATGTGCTTTTTGGGGTTTGCATTTATTATATACTAAGCCAAACTTGTTCATATCTGAACATGTTGTGATGTCTTGTTGGATCAGGAATGATGGGGTTCAGTCCAGGCTATAGGAGATCTGATGTTATTTTGGGAAACAAACAAGGGTGAACTTTACACCCCCAGAATCATGTGGCTGGCCCAGATTGCAGATTTGTTGGTCCATGGTGTAAATTGAAACATTTCACAGAGTGAGCCTGAGGGAATGATGAAATCGGCGTAAGAGCAACAGCAACAGGTGTGTTAGTGAGCATGTGTGCGTGTCGCTGACACGAACACAAAACGAAAACACTTCTAGACAGTTCCATCTACAGTACATCGTTACATGAACTTGTCATTACATTTACTTGGTTTGCTCTTCTTCACATACAAATGTTGAGCTTTTCTTAGCTTTAAATCATAAAATGGAAATATTATTCTCATCTAGCCGTCTACATGTCTAGGAAATCCCCTCATAGCACTTGCCCCTGAGTTAAGAGCCAAACAAACAGTGAGCATGGCTTGGGAAAAGATATTTTAGGAGAGGAACAAATGTCACGTTGTTGAATGTATTTGCCTCGGAACTGAAGCAAATGCCTTCCTGATGTGCAGCTAAAGCTAATGAAATGGGTCTCAAGTCACAATGTTACTAAAACATTTCAAACATCTCTTTTAAAAAAAGTTTATACTACAGTAACATCATTTATACTGGATATCTGCCTAAATGTTGTGCTTGTTGATGTTTCCTGTAATTCTAGTGTGGAGATCAGATTAAACCAAAACTCTATACCACTGTTCCTCCTTTTGAATAAAATTATAAATTAATTGGTATTTTGATATGTAAAAATAAATGTAAACTACATGTTTGTGTGTGTGTGCATGCATGTGTTTTCTATTTTAATATTTTTAAGATGTAATATGCAATTTGTTGCTCAAGAAACATCTTATTATTATCAATGTTGAAAACCGCTGTACTGCTTGATGTTTTTTTGGAACCGTGATACATTTTTTCATGATTCTTTGAAGGATAGAATGTTCAAAAGAACAGCATGCGTTTGAAATTATAAACCTTTTGTAATATTACTTTTGATATTACTGACCCTAAACTTTTAAATGGAAATTATAATGCACATTTTTTATATTAATTTATAAATACACATTTCTAAAGTGAAATATCATCCTTACTGGAAACAGATTACTTCTTGGAAAGTGAGGGTTGGCGTTGGGTTCTGTGAAGCAACATGGTTCTCTGTATGAATGTCACTATATGCAGTCACACTCTGTACATGTGCTCCTGCTGATGCATGTTTCGTTTGCCACTTAGTGAGGGCTCTGTGACCTTTTGCATCCCTTACAATCTACCAGAGTGGCAAGGGGCTGTAGAGAGAGACCAGTTCTGGAGTCTTCTCTACTTTAAACACAGTAGGCAGAATGGTTTACAGCACCCAGCAATGTCAGGTTACATCAGCGCTGTATTGGCTATAGTGAGGAGATGAGGAGACAAAATGTTGAGAAATAATTCCTGTAACCTTTATCACATGGTACATGTTAAATTTCAAAGATGAACAATTGCATGGAATGCATTTCTGTTTTGATTTCAAGAAAAAAAAATGTTTGCTCTCTCTCCCTCTATGAAAATACGCACAAGCTCAGTTCTGCCTTTAAACACTGTGTCTGGAAAAACATTCCAGAAATGCTCTTTATTATGCAAAATCTCTCTCTCTCTCTCTCTCTCTCTCTTTATATATATATATATATATATATATATATATATTAGTGCT